CGGTAACCACCGAGGTGTTCCTTGAGGAAGGCCACAGAAACTCCAGCACAGTTCAGAATCTGAAACAGCTCTATTCAGATAGCATACGTCTGCTGAACACTTCTGACACAACAAGTCTGTGCTTGTAATCACACGTTTCAGTGGCGGGGTACACAGTGTTTTCAGAAATGAGAGGATTCAATCATTACGTCCCAGACCCAACGATCACACCAGATCGCAAAGCAAAAAGAAAGTGGCTGGACCAAATGTACTACAACCAACAACCACAGGTTCGATGTGTGTCTGTGCGGAATATCCAGAGCTGATTTGATCACTCCAAACACAAGAGCAGAATGTCTTGCCATGTGTACAAGGTTTTGGGTTTAAATGGCTGTTAGAATTTAACAGTTATTAAATGTCCAAACTCGGATCAATTCCTTTCAACGCAGAGCACCAAGAACCAACAGTTGCAAGAGGTTCTTTTCTCACCTGGCTTACACCTTCATCCTTACCTACACGCGCCGAGGATCTAGAGACACAGGACCATCCATGAACTAAAGACAGTACACAGTAGCAGCCCACAAACCAGCAAAAGTACCATCCAGTACTTAAACCGTGTTCCTCCTAACTACTGAACACTGCACGCAGTACATGACACCCACACCATCCATCGGTAAAACCACACTGATTACCTGCCATGCAACGCAAGTAACATTCTCAGCTGTTTACAACCATGGGTAATGTCAGGACGTTTTATCTTCCTGTAATAATGTGTCAGTCATCTATAATATGTATCCGCGGTTTATTTTTCTGCTTTAGGTCCTGTGTATATCCGCTCTGTATTTTCTCACTGTTTGACAGATCGTTACGTGTGTGTCGTTTTCACTCTCAGAGTACTACTTACTCATACTGCCATAGAAAGCGGAGACAGGTAAACCTCTGACTAATAATATAGATATTATACCGCAAGAGGAGTCTACTCCTCACTAGGATACATGCACGTCGCTGGTGCATGATACGTAAAAACAGTGGGTTTTCAGTGACTACACAGTGTAGTGAATATGTATTGTCCACAGATTGGTGGTACGAAGGATCGGTGGACATAATGCTTGTCCTATTCCGTTGTATGAGATACACAAAACCAATTAAACTAAACTAATCACAATAATGAGCTCACTAGCTTAACGAGTCTCCTCAAGAAGAACACGCCTATTCAGTGTCAGAAAAAGCTCAGCATATAGTACGCATGGTTAGTACAGTGCGCTGTCATTCATTCTCCATCATCATGGTATCAGCAGTTTTTTGTACTCAAGCGAGCACATGCATATCTCATGCTAACACATTCTATTAAGATATCTTCACTTTGTTTATCGAAAGCTAGACTGTCATGCATCATGAGAGTTGTGCTATAACCATGTCAGAATCCTCTGATCGCTAGTATCGCCTTATCTCTAAAATCAATATCACCAGCCATTCATCATCAGCACTGAGTTACTGAGCGACCCGACATGGCATGCTCGCTGATGACAATACGTGTTTCGTATGAATCTGCATACTCAGTACTGCATACTGGCAGTACCCACACAGAGTTGTGCGGTCTGGATTGGCAGGTGGCCTGACACACGACAAACCGTCGCTCTTCGTAAGTCTGCTCTGTCAAAGCACTTCTGATTCGAACATGTGCTATAAAGAGCTGCAACAGCACGCAATGGGAATTGAGCATACTCAATGACTATCAATGTAATCGTCACTTGCTCTACACGATGCGCCCAGCACACCAAAATTAACCAAACACTAACCTGCATGCTCCTGTACTGTACGTAGCGATTTGGACGCGCAGGTACAGCTGCGCGGTACCCAATTCGCACCGCACTACCTAACCCTATTTAACACAACTTGCACACACTTGGAACGCACAAAGAAGTACAGCCCTCTGTCAGGATGCAGCGAATGCCGCTCGCGACTCCTCTGACGACGTTGGTACCGGACCTACACGCGCGTCCTCCGCACGCTACACTTGCGCGTTGCACAAAAATCGTCGGTCTTAGCCGCCGCCCATTAATTACGCTCCGTGCGGCTTAGACCACACCAAGGCCAGAAAATGGTGCTACTTCTCCTCCTAATAAGCGTTGGCGGGTTTACTGGAACCTTTGGGGACGGAGAAAGGACATCAGGTTGTTATCTATTTGTTCTAAGACCCTAGCTACTTGCATTTCTTTCAGGTCTAGTATCGTTTGTTTTCGTCGAACAGCCAGAGAGAACTACAGTCAATCAATTCGAAACTGCCACTTTCAGATGCTCGGTAGTAAACTCTTCCTTCAGTATATTCTGGCTGGTCAACAACTCTGATGCTGCCTTCACTAAGTTTCGAGAGAAAGGGTTCTCCATCAAAGAAGACCCCAACACTCACACCAGATCACAACTGAAAGTGGCTGGAATCATGAACAACAACAACACACAGGTTCACTGCGCAGCCCTCCAGGAGCACAGAGACCCTCAACTGACCTGGATCGAGTCTCAGACGGCACTGCTTGTTGTGCAAGGTCAGACCATGTTTGGTAATACTCTGAGTGTGTGTATTTATGTGACTGAGCCAGCAGATATACTGGGAGTAAGCACATCATCTCTTTCACTGGAGCCCAGTGCTGTCGCCACCGCTCTACCATCTCAACTACCTCTAACAGGTTCATCAAACCCTCATTTTACTGAGATCTCTTACACTCCTCTCTTTCTACAGATAAGTCTTGGAAAGAGGATAGGGTATTCATACTAATCATGGCTGGTACATCTAACTTGCCCTCCTTCTATTATCATAATTTCATCTTTCATATACACTCAGGCGTAGCTGTGGTGTTCCTAGTGTTCATACTTCTGTCCTGCATAGTCCTTGCATCTGTGATTGTTCTTTTCAGAAGGCATGGTTGTAAGAAAGGTGGATGCTGTTACTTTCTACTTTTACTTGGTTAACTTATTCATTTTTTGGCAGGTACGAAGGGAAAAAAGCAGGCAAATCTTGAAATGACACCTCAAAGCGAACAATAGCGTATTTAATGTGTCATAAACAGTGCATAACTATTTTTATATTTTCTCTCAAGTGTGTTTAGAAAATGACTCCGCAAAGGCTGTCTTCTGTCTAGACATTACCTGGTTTAAACATCCCACAACATAAATACCAACAAAATTCATGAAGATGTGTGAAAAACTACAAACACTGAAGTGAATGACAAATTAAAACCTACTATGGCTGAAGAATGATTAAAAACTATTAAGATTGCTACAAAAATTGTCTTATACTCTCGTGTGCTTGGATCCTTGGGGTTGCAGTATCTGGTGTGAGTCAGCTGGACCCTATAATAGTCTTGTGTCTGAGGTATAATACTGTTTGTCAGAAGAGAACTATGGCCATGTCGACAGAAGATTTAGTGGGGGAGATAAGGGATGAAGCATGTTTGCTCTCTCTCTCTCTGTAGTCCTTCTGGACTGCAAAGAAATTTCACGTTATAGTTTGATAAGTTTGTGTGTTACACAACATACCTATAACCAATAGAAAGCCATTGCTGCTTCACAACTGAGAACTGCAGCAACTGCAACAACACACAGAATGCGAGAGATGAACCACACAACAACACTTTCATTGCAAACAATCCCCACTGCCAGCATAAGCACACTGCATAATAATTATAGAGCTTCGGCCCCAGTGTCTCTACACCTACCAAAGATTGTGATAGTTTTTGCAGCTGTAGGCATTGATGTAGAATTCCCACCAGGTGAAGGAGGTGAGGTGTCCTCTGGATCTGTGAGAGACTTTGCATGCATTAGCTGTGTACACGACAAGTGAAACACACCAGATGGATGTATATATATAGCGTGTAAAGGAATGCATGAAACCCACTGAAGGGGAAAGAAGGGCCGTTGTAGAGTAGTATCAGTTTACACAGGAATTAATGATGTCATAGGAAAGAAGGGAGAGACCACTCCAGACCTGTCCATGTATGGAAGGTCAGCTAATAGTACAAACGTACCTGCTGTGGGTGTGGGACTCTGTGAAGGCCCCGGCTCATTGCTCACAGAGGATGGCAGTGTAGTAGTGTGCTGCGGTTCGTCCCCAGGTTTATCTGTAGTGAGCATTCACAACAGACATTGCATGTAGCTAAGGATAGAGTTGAACTAATCTTCATGCAAACAGACTTCTGATTCACCTATGAAAATTAAGAATGTAATAGAACCCTCAACATTGGGGGGACTGTCATAGCGACAGCTGATGCTGTACTTCTGGTGTGCGTGCTGTAGTAACTCATCGGTGCAGAAGGACAAAGTCCGCTCGTTACTTTCTCCAAACGTTACATGTCCACGAGCAATAGAGTTGTCAGCCTTTCCTGTCCACACCCTACAGGAGCTCCTGTTGTTCTGGAGCTCCAACCTAATCTCTCCACACAACGCCTCTGTCACATTCACTACATAGTCTTCCCCCGCGGAGATAATGAAGCTGCAAACAGCATCTTCTTCTACGTCTCCCTCTCTTCTGCAGGTCTGGGTATTTGCAGGCAACGAGAGAAAGACTAGGACCAGCAGAACTCCAGCCAGGACGAGGCGGAGTACTCCACGCGTTTTCATTTAGTACGCCGAAAATAGTCCCGGCGGTGTTCGCCTCGTATTATAATGCACACCACGGGCGTAGTGCATCCACAATACGGAACGGGAAAAATGATTCTACTCGCCTTCATCATTGTTGGAGTGTTTTTTGGAGTCTATGGTGATGATGAGAGATCAGCAGGTAGAGAAAAAACCATGGATTGGAAGGGAAAAAAACTAATACATCATAATCTTTCAGGCTTGAGATCCTCAGTGTTCCTGGAGCAACCAGAAAGAGTTACAGTCTATGAATCAGACAATGCCACTTTCAGATGCTCAGTTGTTAACTCATCCTTCAGTATATTCTGGCTGGTCAACGGCTTCAGTGCCACCTTCACTGTGTTTCGAGAGAGAGGGTTCTCTGTAAAGGAAGACCCAGACACTCACACCATATCTCGACTGGAAGTGGTTGGACATGCGTCCAATAACAACACAAACATTAGCTGTGCAGCTGATCAGATTCACAGCGACCCTGAGCTATCTTGGATCGTGTCTGAGGTTGCATTGCTCATAGTGCAAGGTAAGCTAATGACACATCATGCTAAAGAGTTTATCACACTTTTCTTTAGATAGGGTAACTCTGCAGTCAGCTGTGGAAGAAAGCATGCACTTGATTGTGTCGACAGAGACTGAGCTGGTGGTAGCAAAGACAACGTCATCGCTACAAACAAAGGTGATACGAACCAGCACAGTGCCTAGCAAATCAGGCACACCAGACAACACTCCAGATTTGAAGCTCCTTCCCGGACAAGGTTTGTGAGAGAATCTAGACTAATACTCATGTACCTTTGCCTTCTCTTTCAGCAAGCACAAAGCATGATCAGAAGAACATGGTCCTGTTTTGGTATATTGGTAAGACTTATCTTCAGATCTAGAGTTATATACCAGATTGTATTGCCCGCCCCTTTACTGTACAGGTGGTGTCATGGGGTTAATAGTACTACTGAGTCTGACTTTTTTGGTCATACTTATTGTTTCCCGAAAGTTGATGAGAAAAGGTATACCACTGGTGATTGTTTTTACTACAACTGTCTTACTATCTTTCTTAATAATCTTAAACAAAACTTTTGGGAGTAAATGCAAACTTTTCTAAATACGCAGCAGAAGGTGCAAGGAAGGCACACGTCGAAGAGGAAGTAGACAAAGAGCTGCAGTCGAACCCCATCTACAGCTATATCTTTGACCCAATTCACTCGCAGTCACACGCCATCTACAGCTCCATCTCTGACCCAATTCACTCGCAGTCTCAAGCCATCTACAGCTCCATCTCTGACCCAATTCACTCGCAGTCACACGCCATCTACAGCTCCATCTCTGACCCAATTCCCCTCCAGAAGAACCAAGTCTACGAGTGCTTTAAACCAGTCAAGTGTGAGAAAAACTGTGCATATGATTCTGTCAACCTTCGCTCGGCAGCTACTACCCACCATTGAAACACAACACATCCTGTATAGTAAAAGAAGGTTTACACTATCACTATTACTATGGCTTTGGTTGTTGACACGGTTGAACGGTTATCTTTTTAAATGAATTTTGCATACAGCACACTGTAATATCAACATCGATATTATTATTATAATAATATATTTCAGCTCTATAACGGAAGAAGTGGTAAAAATTAAAGTGAAAATGAGACTTTGCAAAGAAAAAATTTGGGCAAACTTTATGAATTATAACCTAGTGATGAATTACACAACCACACGCGATGTTGATACTGTTTGTGTTGAGTAATACATGGAGATATGATCTGCTTGAGGCTATAACATTGGTGCTAGACGTCCGTGCAATGACTCTGTGGCTGCTGATCGGGGGTGTAGTGAGTCTGAGTTGGGGTCTGGTCACTGTAGGACAGGGAGGCGTAGGACAACCCCTGTGGAGTGAATGGTATGGTCTGACTGGATGAGTATAGCTGTGGAATAGAAAGAAAAACAGTGTATGAGTGAACTAAGAAACTTGTTGTTTCCCATAACACCTATATATACAAAAGGTGTGCATTGCTGAATTAAATAGTTTCGTTTGGGGTCTCCAGCTAATAACAAGTAAACGCAAAACTAGCAGAGGCATTTCTTGTTTCTCATCATTCAAGCAAAGAAACTGTGTATTGCAGGCTGAATTAGAGGTTATGCAAGCACTCATTTGAGGACTTGGGATACTGCTATATACAAACAGAGTAAAACCTGGCCAGGACGGAGGTGTGGCTTACAGAAGATTGGAGGAAGGGAGTGGTTTGGTATCTCTCTGTGGTCTCAGTGGTGGTTTCGCTGCCTCCACTGCTGATGCTGGGGTTGATCCCCTTCTGTCTCCTGTAGTAACCCAGACTGTCTCTGGTGACCTGGTGACTCGCCTGTGAGGACTGCAGAGAGCTCAGCTGTATCTCGCTCTCCGTTGTCGAGAGAATGTCTGGCTTCTTCATGTAGGAGTCCTGAGTGGCCGACCCACCGGCTGAGTTGAGAGTGCTGCAGCTTGCCTGGTTGTGGCCCTTCCACTTCTTCATGGCGGGACTCTGGCTCCCACTGCTCCCTGTGTTAGTTGGTGACGGACCCTCTCTGTGGTCACGCTGCGGTACAGGGAGGTAAATGTTCCCACTAGTCACGTGGCAAGGTTTCTTCTCCAGAGTACTGATACTGCTGGGTGTGGAGGAAGGAGGTCCCTCTGATGGCGGAATTGGAGACTTTCTTCCTTTCCTGGAGGAAGAATAAACCACATTCACTCCAGGTGCACCATGTATCAATGTTTGGCTACTCACGTCTCCTTCTCAGAGTCATCTCCACTTTCTGGATCGGCTTCCTGGCCTCCTTTAGCCGGCTTCCTAACTTTCTGTTGTCTTTTCTTCAAGTGACAGTGGCAGCAGCAGCAGAAGACCATCAGGGGAATGATGAGGATAATAATTCCTCCACCAGCAGCTCCTCCATAAATGATGGGCATCATCAGTGACTCCATAGTGGATTCGTCAGGAGTGGGCGTGGCTGTAGACGGAGTATCATCTATAGTAAATAGTATATACAGATACCGTAATTGAGATAGAATTACGAGGGCACCCTTTCATTTATGTAACCCAATTACTCATAGTGAGATACATGCAATGGGCAACTTACCAGTGGTTTCAAAATCGATTGTTTCACTACTTGTTCCATTCCCGGCATAGTTGACAGCTCTGGCCTTGAGTCTGTAGGCAGTCTTTGGGTTCAGATCCCTCACCTCTTTCATCACATTCTGCCCAGGGTAGTACGTCCCCGAGAAGTTCCTTTCCATCACCTGCGGCTTTGAGAACTCCAGAATGATGTTGATGAACGGGGGCGTCCCCTCTTCAGGGAGCTTGAAGTCGAGTCTGACTGATGTGTCTGATATCTGGTCAACGGTAATGGTTGAGGGAGGTCCAGGGGGATCTGAGTAAGCAAGAACACAACCAATAACGCCCTGGTTCTAGTTATAAGTCATAACGAGAGGATCTACCTGATTTCTCCGGGCCAGACCCGGTCCTGTTCATGAATCCCCGACCATTCTTGACTCGCAGTTCAAACTCCAGCGGGCCTTTACCCCGGAGTTTCTCTTCCCCCGAGATTACCCCGTGGTACTCCAGGGCTTGGAGTGAGTCCAGGATTAGGACCATGATGGGGTCGGAGGACCACTCGATGGAGTCCTGCTCACGGAAGTAGACAGAGAATGTCGTTGTATCCCCACCGCCGGTGTAGAGGAGGGAGATGGAGATGTTGAAGTGAGTCTCGTTCAGCCTTCGAGCCTCAAACAGCGACACATATGGCGCTACAGAGACAACAAATTGAGAGTGATTGATACATATGTAGCTACATGTAAGCCTTATGCATAAACCCTGTGACATCATATCACAACTTGTTGTTAAATATACTGCAATAGTGTATGTAGCTAACCTTATGCACACATCCATATCTACTCTACATACGGAGTGTATGTTACTGCTCTACGTACCAGCTGGAGGTGTTTCAAAAGAAGTAGCGCTCTGCCCAAGTCCGTCTCCATTCCTGGCAATGAGTGTTGCATTGTACAGTACCCCGGGGAACACGTTGACAACGGTACTGCGGGCAGACCCATCCAGGCTGGCAGAGACAGCAGTGGAGCCATTGGGGAAGATGACTTGGAGCAGGAAACTGCTGGCGTCCTGGTCGGGGTGGGTGATGGGCAGATCCCACTGGAACTCTACCTGGTGCTCTCTCACCACCGCGGCCTTGAACTCTGCTGGGTCGGGTGGCGGCACTGCAAGGAAAGACCAGTGCATGATAAACCAAGCAGCATTTTGTTTGTGTCACAGGCAGCGGAGTTGGGGGACTTAACAGCTTTGAATCTGCTAAACAAAATGCACAGAGCGTTCAAGGAACTATCCAGTTCAAGTCTATAGCTATACGTGGACTGTCTGTCTTACCTATCACATCAACCTGGAAGCTCTGGTCGTCTCTCCTTGAGTCTTGACCTATCACCTTCTCCCCAAAGTCTGTGCTCACCAGGACTCTGTACACCCCACCGTCACTTCTCCTCATCTGGGGGAAATGGATGGACGTGTTGCCCCTTCGCAGCTCCTCGGAGAATGCAGTGGTGATGCTGTAATCATCCGAGTCCGAGAGCTGTACCCCGTTCTTGAACCAGCTGACATCCAGGCCCTGGGACTCTCGTCCAGTGAAACTAACTGTGAACATTGCCTCCTGAACTCCGTAGAGCGTCTGGTAGTTCTCAGGGTAGTCATTTATGTTTATTGGAGCTGCAGAATGAAAGATGAGCCGGGCATTGTTAACGGATCTATGTGCCAACTGAGAAGACGGCATACAAATTGACCAGAATAAACATACAAATTGCACTGATGTTTCGTGATTTGATTGGGCCGTAAAGATGTCATACTGTAGCTATATTATATACTCACTGAAGACATGGAGTATGATGGGGACTTGTGTGCTGCTGTCGTGCGAAATGAGACTGATGTCACAGGCATATTCTCCCTCGTCATCCACAGCGGCACTATTGATGACTGAAGTGGTCTGCCCCCCTCGTCTGATGGTGATTATCACCGTCCCATACACCAGGTTTGTGTTGTCGAATGAGCACTCCAAACTAATGTCCTCTCCTTCCACCACATATTGATTTGGTGGGGCTGTAATTAGAGTCAGCTCTGAGGAGAAAGAGGGAGGAAGAGAGAGGAAATGGTAAACAGAGTTTGGAAGTGAGGGAGAGAGGCAGTAACTAGAAGAGGGAGGAACGAGAGATAGTGGAAGTGGGAGCACGAAGTATACATAGTACTGTATGACATGTGACAATGAACACTAGAGTAACATTTTTGAGACTTGTCAGCTGTACAATGGACTGTGTACACAAGATTGTACCATAACACAGGCTCTCGAGCAGCACAAACAGACAGAGACACAAAGCTTTGACCCCCCTTTCTTCCGCCCACTCTTCGCCATGTTTTTCATCCAGAGATTGGGGTTCATACCTACGACAGTCAGGGTCCCCATGCTGGCACTGATGGATGTTGAGTCTGTAAACACCACTTGACATGTGTAGGGCCCGACATTGCTCAGCTGGGCGGAGCCAACGTCCAGCATGATACTATCACCCTCTGTCTCTGAGTCTATAACATCTCCATTGTGTAGTATACGTAGCTCGCCCACTGCCGTTGACCTGCATTGAGAAAAGGAAGACTCGTGGATTGTGTGACAGGAAACACTCTCTGTCTGTGTCTGAGGACTTACCCTGTGTACCTGCACGTCCTTCTGAAGCTGCCGTCCTGGAAGATTGTCCTGTTCACGTTGGCTGGTAAAATTTCAATGTCTGTGTGTGTGCTGGTGGCTGGGAAAAGAGAAGACACAGTAGTGTTAGCAGTGTGTCGGTGGTTAGTGAAAACACACGTACTAATTGATACACGCTGTCGGACATTCATAAAGAGATGGTACAAAACCAAACAGCTACCGTGACCTAAACACTAATAGCTCCAGCCACCACTCGGACTCCTTGCCCACCGCACAAATTATTCACGTTGTGCAAACTTGAAAACACAGGCAGTGAATAGTCATAGGAGGTGCGTTAACTGGGTGCTAATGTGAGATACAGCCTCGTAGACAACCTGCCTGCACGATCTCGTGCCTCTATTTTTATCCCAGCTAACCACAACGACATATTTGGAAGACGATTAATTGGGTAAGGGAAGTAAACCTTGAATTCCTGAGCCATGCTATGGGGAAACGAGATACCTCGTGAGAATATGGTCAAGTTACTGATACCTACATCAGGCTGCCTGCCTCTCTCCCTCTCCCTCTCTTGAACTGTGCCCCAGAGACAGTGAGACTAGACAGATCAGCTAATGCACACCACATACGGTGTGTATGGTACATGCCTGCCGAACAATGCTTTGAGCGCCGAGAGAGAAAGAGGGGTGGGAGGATGATGCTGCGTGTTAAAGATTATCTGCTCAGCTGTGATACACAGGCTGTCTGCCAGAGACAGCTTACTGTACACAATTAGAGGAACATGTGCCTTTTGGCAGTGTTTCACTTGCTAAAGGATGTGATCGCAGGAGATCATCAACTGAGGAGACCAGCTTCAAACGTGGACTAGTTCACAGAGTCAACTGGGCTAATGTACCTCCCACAGTGCTCTGTGTGGCTATTCATTAGAATGACACAGACACGGTCCCACAACACTGCCAGTGTACTAAAACGGGCGCACAATCATGTGTCGTTGACTTAGTGAAATCATTACTTCCCCGCAAATATTTGCCCAAATAAATATGCCATTGAGAAGCACTACGGAGTTACACAGCTCAGGCAGCTACAAAACAAACACAGTTTCACATTATTACTGAACGAATACACCGTTCCTGAGCCTGAAGCTTTAGGCTCTTAAAAATCAGTAGTTGGCCTGGGGACTATGTTTGACCTGTGTTGCTAATGATTTCCATTGGAGAGCATCAGAGATCGCAACTCCCCGCCACATCAGCCACACACCATTGCAGATCCAATACAGGTCGTGTCTAGGAGTTGAAGGCTATGTCTGAACAGAGTGTCAGCTCTGAGTGGGGCAACCCATCAGTGAGAGCACTATTTATCTCCCGAGGCACTACATTACACGCACCATATATCTCAGAGTCCAAACACATTGGACTGTCTCTGTCTCTTTGATCCTCAGTTTCCTCTCTTTGACTCAGTCGTGATAAACAGGGTCAGGGGTGTGTTTGGTAGGAGGTGTAGGAAGAGAGGAAAGGAATTTCGAGAAAAGAGTCTCACTCTATCATTGGACTCTTCAGACATCTGCTCTATAGCAACTGCTGCCACTGGACTGCAGCTATCTTATTTCTCATTCCCACCCAAAAAAGAAGATGTGAGCCTGAGAGTAGATGAAGAACTTGATATCCAGTTCTTGTGTAAACAGCCATCATAGCCACCTCCAGGAGGTCCACAGAGTCAGTGTATACCTGCTATACTCTATACTACCAGCATACACCCTCACCAGCATTTAGAGGGTGGACCAGCCGTGTGTGTGCACACCAGAGGAAACTCAGCAGGAGCCAACAGGTGACCATGCTACCTTGCCTTTCCAGTTTTATGAAATAACCCGAAAACCCCCTCAACCATTCAGCTGCCATACTACAGATATATGTCTGTCTGTACCATTGGTGCGGTTTTGCCAAGAATGGTGTGACTAATCGTATAATGACGGGGCTGTCTCCCTAAACCGAATGGTATGTCATCCATGGCTCCCACACAAAGGTCAGGGGAGCCTTTGGCGACTCAGTTCTATAGACCAGCTGCTGCGGTATGCCCAAGTACACTGCCTCTAGATTTGACAATATGTAAATATAGCACGCTATTTTAAGCAGACGATGTGCGCACTGTGCAATGGCACGCATCTGGCGGTCGTAATTATGTGGGAAGAGTTCGGAATGTACGGAGGGATTCTCGCAACTTGTCTCTGGAGACTTGTGATTATTGTGGTTCGATGATTCAGTTGGTAAAAATATTTCACCAGCCCTCCTTCCCACAGCTACATCAAAGAGAATGCTCATGTACGTGAAAACACACTGGGCTACACCCTCAATTATCCCTGTTAAAACAAGGCAAAAGCTCTAATTAGGGATTGGTGTACCTGCTGGCTGGGGACCTCATGGAAAGGATTCCAGAGTTACCACTTCAAAACGAGCTCTTTATAGCCGTCTTATTGCAGGAATGCCAAGCTAGCTGCACTCAGAAATATGAGTATGTACAATACAGCCACTGGGGCCTGAGAGGGATGCCAGGTGATAATTATTAGTTATTTAGCTAGTGGGTGAAGACGGAGAGAGGAAATAAAATACAATATCTGTTTCTGCAAACTGGCCCAGAAAGGATCATACAAATCTCTAAGGTTAACTCTCCTGACATATTACCCCGGTGCACTTCCTGTTCATATTTCAGCCACATAGATACCAAAGATTCCCAGCAGTCATTGATGAGTCACTGAGTCTATTTTTAGCACATCGCTATGAAGCACAAGAGCTAAGAATTTTCCCACCCCATAGTTTAGCATTAATTATCAATGGAATTTACCATCTCAGGTGCAAAAAATTAAGGTAATCAATAAGGCATGAGCTTTGAACATCTTGCTCAAGTTAATAAGCTATTTCTTTTGCAATACAACTACTTCAGTTTAGTTACTCAGAAATCTCAGGGTTGTCTTACTCTGTACAGCTTATTTTAATGATAGAAAGTGAAGAAAATTATGTTGTGTAGTTTGTTGTTTGAAACTGATGCAAAAAGTTTCCCATCGTGGAGGAAGTGTGTGGGTAGGCGTGGTGCGGTTGTTGGGGGATGACATCGTTGGAATAATCACATGCCCTGTAGGGACTGTCTCTACAAGTAGGAGGGTAATTATTCTATGCTCGCTATGTGCAGTGCATTGCTCAATGCTCGGCGGAATTTCATCCAGTGGGGGGCCAAGAGTCGTGACAACAAGCAGAAAGAAGGGTATTCTCATTATAGCTACCACCATGAAGACATGATGGGGGCTGGGGAGGTGTTTATATCTAGTGTGTGTGGCAGTGTCCAACCACCTGGCTGATGCCAGTCTCACGTGACACATGCGATACTCTTGCCTGCAAAGCTTCTGCAATTACACAGCTTACACAGGGCGAGACAGAGACTGGATTTCCGAGTGACGGCACCAGCACATGATCGGGTGACAGAAATAAAGATCCCCAGAGGAGTGTTGTGTTTTCCTGGGGGGTATGTTGGTCAAGGCCTAGACCCACTGTGGTTACCTGTTATGAAACTTTTCATAATCAGTTCCTCTCAAAACTCCTCCAAATCTAACCAAAGCCTCTCTGATAATTATTCACAGCCTTTGCTGTGGTGTATTCTGAAAGAGAATATTGTGACTTTACCCGGCCACTTTTCACGACCACACATTTTAATATGCATAATAATGCTCCGTGTCCGAGAGTAGACTCGTTGCCACCAATGGTAAAACTCAATGGGGCATACATCCCCCCCAGCTGAGGGATCACGAGAATGACAGGAAAACTGGATGCCCAATACCCAGTCGACCTGTAGGCTCGTAACACACAGCATTGCACGAGGAATTCTACATGCACAGAACCCTACAAATGTTGGCATTGGCCAACTGTGGTCGGTGGGTTATACCGAGCCATTCCCTCCTCCATTCACAGAATTCATAACTCCCGTCCCAGAGAGTCTCACACCGCATGCTCATGTGGAGGCGTAGACATAAGCCCTCAGGTCTAGTTGGGGGTCCAATGAATCGAGCACTGACCCACGGAACCTAACTTCGGTTCCCGTGGGCCAGAGATGAAAGCCTGGCCTCTTACAAGCCACTGAGGACTCTTGTCCGTAAGCAGGCAAGTTGCTTATCATCAAAATAGCTCCCTCATTTATACCTTATTGTAGGCTACAGACCATTAGGGCAAACATACACGCAGTCTATACGGCTGAGTGTGACGGCCTAAAAGCTGCAGTGAGTGTGAACAGATCTTGCCTAGCATTTGGGCTGCACGGCAACAATGAGAATATGGACATGTGATTCATAACCACACTGAGTTCAAAGCAGCACGCAGAGTTATATAGCTCTACAGTGTGCTAGCAGGAGAGTGTGTATGGGTCCACTCTCTATGCATGTGTTGTGTTGTTTTAGTGCACACTCCACATGAGAATGGATCATTGTACTCTTGCACAAACACACAACAGTCGCCAGCTCTATCCCTGAGCAACTACAATCCTTTGCCAACCTGGACTAAGAGCGGATCTGTAGACACATCACTGCATTGCCTCACTCACCAGACGCACCCTAAAATGTCATGCTCTGCGTTCATCGTAAACTTTGGCAGAATGCATCTTTCAACATCAGTCACTGCCATACCTGTCGTGAACTAATGCCGTGTCCAGCTCCATTAAAAATACCAGGACACCGTAACCACATCAATAGGACCGCAGCCAGCCGCACCCAAGAGCCAAACCTCGTGTAGTTCCAGGATAAATATATACAGTTGAGGCAAGGGAATTTCACAATTGGTTAGTTAATGCTATTATATTGGTTTACAAAGATCCGTTGCTGTGTCTACAAAGAGTAATCAGATGGAGTGATGCTGTTCTTACACTTAGCTGCTTCTTTGAACCTCCAGTGTGCCAACAGTCGCCATCAAGCTCAATCAATACCAGGACTAGTTCGCATGCAACCTACATCACCTCCGGACTATTATATAGCTATACTGACTCCTGCCTGCTGAGGTGAGGCATTTTGCTGCAGTGTTCGCGTGCAGTCATCGCCGGCGGCAATGGACTGTCTGCACTAGCTGCTGCAGAC